TAAGGCAGCTGACTGCTAACCAAAAGGCTGGTGGTTCAAACCCACCAGCCACTCCTCGGAAGGAAGATGGGGCAATCTAATTCCGTAGTGACACTGCCTCGGAAACCCAAGGAAGGGTCGCTATGAGTCTGGTCTGACTCGATGGCACATAACAACAACAACAGACCTGCCCCATAGGGTTCCCAAGGCTGTAAATCCTCACAGAAGCAGACTGCCTCATTCTTTCTACTACGGAGAAGCTGGTGGGTTTGACCTTTTGCTGACCCTTTGCTTAACAGCTGAACACGTTAAACACTGTGCCACCAGAGCGCCTGGGTACAGGTAGTAATGTTTGTTGTTGTTGTTAGGTGCCATCGAGTCGGCCCCAACTCATAGGGACCCCTTCTTGGATTTCCGAGGCAGTATCACTACAGAAGTAGATTGGCCCATCTTCCTTCCGAGGAGTGGCTGGTGGGTTTGAACTGTCAGCCTTCTGGTTAGCAGTCAAGTGCCTTAGGCACTATGCTACCAGAGCTCCCACAGATAGTAATAGGTTCTGTTAATAACATAGCAAAAAGTGAAATGTTATTCCAATATCCAGCCTTCGTACTTTATTTATAGTATTTATTGTTTTCATTCATTTATTATTTTAATAGCCTTTTTAAGTAATTTTATTTTAAGGACCAGCAAACTGAGAACCAGAGCAGGTAAGTAACTTGATCAAGATTGTACAGTTTAGTAGATTTAAACCAGGTCAGCCCAAGAATCAGACCTGGATCTGATGGTGTTCAAAAGCATTCCAACTAAGTGGCTCTGCTTATTTCCCCCTATTCATTTAAAAATAAAGACAAACATACTGTCTGTTGTGTGGGAGAGTAGGGAATTGGAAGGACATGGACTCAATCATATAAATACTTGAACATCATGCTGAAAATAAAATGCCTTATTTTTCCAGATGATAGTGTGAATTGTGCAGTATACAAATTTGCTAATAATGACTAACTGAGGATTATAGAGGTAGAGAACAATTAGTAGAAATACCTTTACAACTTGGATTTCTTAAATTGCAAACAATGACATTGGATTTAGATAAATTTAGAATTCGCTGAGCAGAGCGCCTTATTTGTTTTCAGGTTGGAAATCATTTCCCAGACATGAATAGCGAAAAGGAGGAATGTAGAAAACAGATACGTAGAAAACAAAATTTAACATAGTGCTCAGTATTGATACTAACATACATTTTAAATGATTGCAAGTGAGGTTCCTAAAAGGCATGTGATTTTTTAAGATCCTGATTATCAAACTGACAAATTAATATATCACTCAGGATGTTACATGGTGTAACTTGGTAGGGTGGGCTACGATATTAGCAAGTAGATATGAGAAGAGAGATCATGTGAAGCAAAGGGAGCAACTTAAAGAAGGAATGGAGGCAGGACTTACAGGACATTGTCTTAGTTCTCTAGTGTTGCTATAACAGAAATACCACAGGTGGATGGCTTTAACAAACAAATTTATTCACTTATAGTTTAGGAGACTAGAAGTCCAAATTCAGAGTGCTGGCTCTGAGGAAAGACTTTCTGGTTTCTGGGTAGAGCCCCTTCAACCTTAGGCTTCAGCTCTGCCTTTCATGCCCACTGGAGCAAGCTAGAGGCTTCTCTTGACGCCCGCAGCTGCAGAGCCTGACGAACTCAAGATTGGCAAGTGAACATAATAGGCCTTTGAGTCAAACAACTACACCAGGGGCATGCACTCCTTAGAACAATCAACCTTGGGAGAGCAGAAAGGGCAGCATTTGCACAGGGAGAAAGGTAAGGAGGCAGGAATGCATAGGCAAGGACACAATGAAAGAAGGATAATCACAGGGAGGAAGTGGGAGGAGAGCTATAAACTGCAGGGATTGTAATCAGTGTCATGACATAAAACGTGTATGAACTGTTGAGTGTAAAACAAATCTGCTTTGTCAAATTTCACCCAGATCACAATAAAAAGTTTAAAAAATAATAAAAAGATTGGCAGACTGTGGTGTAGTAAATTTCTTAGTGTGGCTTTTCTACCCATAAGTCTTTGTAAACTCCAAGGTGGAATTTGCCATAAGCAACTGAGGGGCTCCTGATTGCTAACGTTGTCTACCTGGAGTATTTCTGTTAGGAGTGGCACAAAATGATGTTCTGGGAGGTTCCTGCTCTCTCTCAGGTGCTTAGAATTCTCATGTTATGATTGGTTAATTTGGCCACTCTGCTAGGCTCAAAAGGAGGCCTCCTAGAGGCAGAGGTCTCTCTGTGACCTCTGGCTGAGGAAGACGTGTTGCTGAGAAAGAGACACCGAGAGACATGCACTGCTGAGAAAGAAACACTGAGAGACACGCATTGCTGGGAGAGAGACAGAGAGACTGTTGGGTGAGAGACGGCGGGCTGGGAGAGAGGCTGAACGTTGTTCCTGAATTGAATTGTAGCCTGGTGCTTCCCTAATAAACCCCATAATCTGTGAGTTCTTTGTGGCCACTGCAGTGAATTATCGAACCAGACAGATAGGCTTTGGATGCTGCGACAGGAATGGTTGGTGTAAGGGCTGGAGGGAGGCAGCGTGTTTGGCCTTGCAGGAATGGGCCTTGGGCTACTGATAGTGATTCTATCTTCTTCTTGTGCAGTTAGAGGAGTTCAGAAGATGTGGCCTCCTTGTCTTTCTAGCAGGCAGTATGGCAGGGCACTGGTTCAGTTCCAGAAACTGGAGATGATGAATGAGCCAAATGGAGAACCCTTTCCATTATATATATTGGAAGCAGCCACACTCCAAAGGCAACTCCCCTTCAACTAATTAACTACTCACAGCAGATTCTACCATGAAGGTGATTATACCACCTCCAATCTCATCATGGGGAATAAGTACATCTAGCTGCCAAGCTACTCAAAATCATGGCCCAGTGAAGTTGACACATAACCTTAACTACTACATACATGTTTAGGGAAAAGCAAATAAGAGTTTGCTTGCAGAAAGAAGACTAGGAGGGCTAAGGCTGAAGTGGTAGATTGGAGTTTAAATTGTAGGAGGTTTCTAATGTTTTCGCTGGTCTTCTCTTTCAGTTCTAGTTTCAAGCTCTTTTTTTTTTTTTTTTTTTAATTTTATTGTGATTTGGGTGAAAGTTTACACAGCAAATTCATCTTCCATACAGCAGTTCACATACATTGACTATAATCTCCCGTAATGCAGCAGCTCTGCTCCCACAGCCTCCCCATAACCACCTCTCTCCTGTGTCCTTCCCTCCCATGCACTCCTGCCCCCTGAGCTCTCTCCCTATATATACACAGCCCTTCTATCCTCCCATGATTGATCTCTCCAAGGAATATATGTACCTAATGTAAATGTTCACCTTGTATGCCTGTCTTTTGTTTGGCTGGAAGCCACAGGAGTGGGTTCAATTCCAGACCTATAAGGCAGCTAGGGGCCATAGGCTCAGGGGTTCCACCAGGCTCTGTCAGACCAGCAAACTTGGCCCCTTTTTTTTTTTTTTTTTTTTTTATGATTTTGAGTTTTGTTCCACATTGTTTTTCCACTCTATCCAAGATCTCTTACGTAGATCCCCCTCTGATCCAAGCTCATTTCTTATAAGATGTTAGAGTTAATGACTATAAAGCCTGGGAGAAGACTAAGATTATTGCTATTGATTGTACTAACAACAGTAGCTACCATTTATTTTAGTAATTTCCAGATTTCTGATACTCAGTATACTAAACATTTTCATGTACTTTGTCTCATTTAATTCTCAGAGCAACTAGATAGATAATTGGCATTACGTTTATTGTAAGGCACAGGGATGTGAAGCAATTTTCACAAAGTTAATGAACCAGTAGTAGATGGATCCACATTCAAATGAGATGTATCTAATTGTAAGGCTTAGGTTTCTTTGACTCTTTCACTAAAGAACAGAAATAGTTTTATTATATAGGTTCATAAGTCTAGAATTGACATATAGCTTGAATCAATATTATATTATTTAATATTTCTTCTCCTGTTAAATCTTGGTGATTTCAATAGCTGGTGTTTCAAGTACCTTGTCTGTTCATGTCCTTGAACAATTCTCCAGTGATCTTGTTCTTCATCCAACCTTAGCCACTCATCCCATGGGCAAGACCCATTAGTAAAACCACTCCATAATGTTAATTGCATGCATCCTACTCTTTGAACAGCTCATTTCCTCTACAATTCTGACTACATTAATCCTTTGACCTCACTAAGGCCTACAATCCATTGATCTTACAAATTTGTTACTCTTCTCCATCCACATAATGCCCTCACTTCTTATCTATGGCCTGTCATAACTTTTCTCTTACTCCTGATTGTCCCCTGTCCCTCTCTCCCTCTGTCATATTCGTTTGGCAACACCTTACATTTGAATTGGTTCTCTGCCCAGTCCTCTCTTGAACCAGTACAACTGAACCTGATTGG